TGTGGGATCTGCTGCTTTCACTGTTCATACGGGTTGCAGCAATCTTCCTGTTAGTTGCTCCCTGAGCATAAGGAAAATATATCAAGTTAATTACTTGAACACTTAAACTCTTAACAGAATGTTGGGGTATAGAGGTCTTGCCTGTAGTAGAAGCTTTAGAACGTCACTAACAGTTCTCACATTATGTTCTACAAGATTTTCAACATATACTCCTTTTCCCAAGTCTTCCCTGAGCTGAAGTATAGAATTCAAGGTTCTGACTTATCTCAAATAAAATAAACTAAACGTACCAGACTGATATATAATAACCAAGTAATGGAGGAAAAAAATTGAATTACTTGCAAATTGGTTGACGATGGTTCCAAGAGGTCGGTTATCTGCTCGTTATATATCTCAAGAAAAGAACATTTGCAACTGAATTTCAAATTTTCATCTCTCCTTTCCTCTTCTTCCTGTTATAAAAGACCTATTTTAGTACTGAAATATATTGGCTTGAAATGATTCGTCGAGAGGAAGTTAGGCAAATACCATTTTAATTCTTGAGAATAGATACTCAAAAATACGAGCAGTAACTCCGCAGTCTTCACTGAGGCTTCCCTCTGCCTCAGATATCTCTCCCATCATAGTATATGTCTTCCCACTACCAGTCTATATTAGAGAAAGGTAACTAGGTAAGTTTCTTAAGTTTGCACCTTGGAAATTCTAACAAGCAGAAACTTTTAAACATATCATCATTTACGATCTCACCTGGCCGTAGGCGAACACACAGCTATTGTAACCAGACAAGCAATTCTCCACCATGGGCAGCCCAGCAACGTGAAATAGCTTTTCCTGGCAATCAACATAATACGCATCCAGAACATTATAGGTAACCACATCAAATACTAAAAGCCTCTGAAACTAGCTAATGTTCACCTTCAAGTGGAACTACATGCATTTGAAATGAAGCTTACCTGAGATATTGTCTCACTGGCAACATGGTCAAAGGTGAATCTGGTCTCTGGGTGGCCTAACCAGACCAATGTTTGTGGACTCTCCTGTTTTAAACATCTACCATGTCCTTGACTAGCCCTTTCCATTGTACTTAATGGCCTTAGCCTTATCAAAACCTACACCATATAGAAGGATCCCTGAATTAGTAAGTTCGGAAAAAAAAAAACAAATTGACCAAGAATCTCCTAAAGAATGCACCAACCTGCACATTGTGCTCTTTCCAAAACGAATGATCTTCATTGAGCTCAAAATGTGGAGTTGTTTCCGCAAAGCTAACAGACTCAGCCATAGAAATCCGCCTTGGAATCCTCGCATACGAGGCCGTTCCTCTTCCTCCGAAAGACTGAACAACTCGTGCGCCGGTAGCACAACCTCCACCAAGAGAAACCCTAGCACCGTTCCTAGTGGGCGTACTCTGCGCAGAGTTCGGCTCCGACCGAGACTTTCCATTACGACCAACATTCTTAGGGTTCGAATCATGCATACCACTCGCATTTCCAGCTCTACCTTCCAAAACATCGAATCTCTTCTCCGGACACATTGTTCGTTGATGCTGCGTTCTCGTACCTTCCAATTTCTGAACTAAATCGAGATGATTCGCCTTCTGAAGCTGACTCGGATCCGGTATCGAATTCAGAGGAGCTCTTGACGGCGAAAACAGAGACAAGCTCGCGAACTCGTTTTCTTCCGATTCCGGCATCTCGATTCTCGGAACGTTTCGAGACATGGTAAATCGAGGCACTAGCTTCCGCTCTCTTTCAGCATGCGGAAAGAATATGAAGACGATTCAACTTCAAACGCTCATACACTGAGACAAGGAGCAACTTGTTCGGAAACTTGAGGACGACTTTAATTAATGCTTAACCAGCGCTTTTGAAGTTTCGAGAGCTGTTTGAATCCTTCCGAGCTCTCAGATTTGAAATGGGGGGAGTGGATTTTCAAAATTAGAAAGTTTGATTTTTCTAAACGATGAACCCTTCTACTTCTTCGATAATACGAATATACCCTCTCATTGTCTCCGTTTTCAAATTTTGATCTTTAGTTTAGAATACTTTTGATTAATAAACTAACCGTCCCTCTCCATCACTAGTGTTAGGTCAAGTTTTGCATCATTTGCATAGCTTAATTAACTGTTCCAGATTCTTCTTATACAATATTAGTATGCTTTGATCAGTGTAATTTTTAAGGGTCTTAATTTAATTTTTTGAAAACATGGTGCTTAATTACAAAACGACCCCACGAACAAAAATGAAAGTGGTGCAATGATGCTAAGTCTGTAATAAATGTCTTCGATCTCTTCTTCCAAGAGCTAAAAAAAAACTACATAAAGAAATGGTCAACTGAAAAGTGTAATATTCAAAATTTGTGTTAGTTGTTAATCGAACTTTGAGATCCCATTATCAAATCCATACTGATTCATTATGAACCTTTTGGCGTTTTACTAAGTTTTGAATTCAGTTAATAAACTATTCTTTGTTAAATATATTTATTGTTATCCACATAACACATGCAATTAATCTGTATTTTACATGCGTATTATATCAGTAGTATTCAGTTATTCATTTTAAAGTCTACAATGCATATAATAAAACCTAAATAAAGAAGAATTTTATCCAAGAAAATAATTCATAGATTAATAAAATTAAATCTCTGAGAAATAGACATACGAGATTACGAATATATCACAAAATGGCGTAAATTAAATACATGAATATAGCTAAGAGAATCGTTGTATAATGTATGTTTGTAGAATTGCAGCCTTGATTGGTCATGCCTCCACCTGAAATATAACCCAAAAAAATACATAAAACGTCTTAAATTTAACATTAGAATCTAAAGTATCTAACAAAACACAGTTCAACTGGACAGAACCACGAAGAATGATTAATGAACATTCAGTTGAGTTTAGAATCAATTTAAAAAGTATAGGGACTGGTACAGTAATTACCACATTCTCTCGTAGGGTTGTTGTTGGATCCGGGACACTGGCAAAGAAAAATCTCCGTCTCGGCGTCGAAACCACACGTGCCACCCGACTTCCGGCAACGGTCACAACCAATCTCCGGCACCGAGTACGAAAGCTCGATTCCGTAGGACCAATCCGAAGGCGCCACGCCTCTCATTTTCCCGTTGTCAATCGCCGTCGTGTAATGTGAGCAGTCCAAAATGTTCATACTCATCACCCGCACAGTATCGTAGCTAGTGAAACAACAATACGGCGTCGTATGAACCGTACTATTACCTGCAAACACAACAAATTCAACATTTGGGGGAAAAGATCGCTACAGTAATCCAAATCGTTCGAATTAAGAACAAATACCAAAACTTGATTTCATACCGGAGGGTGTTGTAGTATTGAAGATGCGAAACGAGGTACAAGAGCTATAAAGCTCGTCGCAAGAATGGCCGGCGGCATTAAAACAGAGATTCCGGTAACGATTATGAACCGGAGAGTCATCGGAACAGTTGAGGAGTGCGAAAACGGTGTCGTACGAAGGTCTAATAAGCGCGTTCTGTATATCCGCCAATTTGAAATCGTGATGAGGCTGAAGAATCGAGCAAGTAGACATGGACGGATCGAAGATTACCATAGTTTTCTTCTCGTAATCGATGCTCTTGACCTTGTAGCTACCGGAAGGAGTGGTGAAATATAGATCGGTGGAGCAATTGAACATTGCTTTGAACTGAGGAGAACCGCAGCCGGCGTCGATGCCGAACGGGTAGTTTATTGGGATGTTGCCGCATAATGTTCGGCACGATGTTGCTGCAGAGGTTGTTAATGGCGGAAATGTTAGGGTTGTGACTGTGTAGAGGAACGAGAAGAAGATGAAGAGCTTCGCCATTGTTTCTTCCTGTAATTTTCTCTTTTTCCCTTCCTCTATCTAAACAAAGGTTTACGGAAAATTAAATGTTTAAATTAAAATGAAATCTTTTTATGGAAATTTTTGAGCTTTATTATCCTAAATATATTAGTGTATAAAATAATAGGAACATTATTACCTTGAAATTTATTTTATTTTATTTTTAACTTCCTTGCTTTGTGTGATGTAATTTTAAGTGATTTTTTACCTTGGTTTGTTATGTTTTGTCAAAGTTGATAATGTATTGGAAAGCTACTACATGTTATGTCCCACATGCTTATTATGTCTAGATTATGAATTATAGATGGATCAATTAGGAAAATTATATATGTCTACTTCATCAATCTTCATATTTTTCTTTTCCCATAAACAGATTTCAATTATTAAAAAAAATGAAATTCAAATTTATTAGAAGGTTGAACAAAGAATCTAGAAGAGTGATAAAAAAACACAGAGGCGAAAACTTAGATGTATATTTCTCCATTGTATTATTTTGTATGCAGTAGTTAGTACTTAGTCTTGTTAGTGTTGTAGGCATTTGTTTATGGTAAGGCTGTTTTTTTTTTTTTTTTTTGCTCTTGTAGATATACATGTCCATAGTATTATTTGATTTAAACTTGAAAATCGTATGTATTTTTTGGTCGATGTCCCAAAATTCTAAAAGTAGATGACATTTATTCGTTCCACATCTGTTGTTGAGTCAGAATTTGAGAATAAGATGCTGATATATATCATGTTCTCTTTTTGATAGCAAATAATCTCTCAATCTCGTTTCTATATGATCATATAGAACGCCACTGTGGTCTGTGGGTTATAAGAAAGAGAGTTAGAGATTCGAACATAACAAGTAAATGTATGTGAATCATTTCGACACCCGAGCTTCTAGATTTAGACCATCTCATACATAATAATTCAAGAAAGCCATAGCTTAATTAAACGAAGAAAAAAAAAAAAAGGAAAAACAACTCTGTTAAGCTGGTAGAGATCAATACCATACTGTATGTAGAGAATGTGTGAGTTATGATAGTGTCGGATTAAAATGAAGGGAACCTGAGTTTTTCCCGCCAATGAGGCTCCCCAATTTCATCAGTAAATAAAGAAATAAGCTTGGAGAAAAATAATAATGAAAAAGCAATAAGCAAAAAAAAAAACACACACAAAATGTTCGTCGGCGACGACGACTCAATTCAGATTGTTCGACTTCTTGAGCAGACGCTTACTTCCATAGATGGCGTTGCAGTCCGCGAGGCGACGGAGGCTCTGGATCGACTTGCTACAGAGCTCCCTCACTTCCCTTATCGTCTTCTTTCCATCGCTTCCGGTTTGCTTCTTTTTTCCCTTTTGGGTTATCTTAATCTTTTCACCCGATTTACTTAGCAATTCACTATATCCCAAAGCATCGTCTTCTGATGAAGATATGTGATTTTGATTTCCTCAGAACAATTAGGGTTACGTTGGTTGACTTTACAGTGGTAACGATTTCACGAAATGTTGTTTAAGGGTTATTTCGTTCAAGCCTTTCATTCTTGTTTGCTATACTTCTAGTTGAAATTCTGCGTTTTCAAGCAACGCTCTCTGCTGATTGACTTCATTTTCATCCTTTGTGTCCATGACTTTTGTTTAAGATATCCCATTTGAGCAGCCCTTTTGGCCGTAGCTTATGATTCTTGAGTATGCTGGAGTTTGATAATCATGCTTTAAGAGTATTGAATCCTTAGCAATATTTTGATTCAGCTTATTCAAAACTCATACATGATTATTGAACTCACTCGACTGAGTCTTTCATGTCGCAGTTGAAATTCAATTTTTTTTTTTTTTTTTTTGTTTGTGATTGACCAGGAGGAGAAAATCCCAGCCAGAGAGTTGCCGCTGCAACATATCTTAAGAATTTTACCAGAAGGAGCACTGGGATTGAAGGGACAATCTCTGAAGTCAGCAAGGAGTTTAAGGATCAGCTCCTCCTAGCTTTGCTTCAGGCTGAGCCAGCAGTTCTTAAAGTTTTACTTGAGCTGGTAGGCATTTTTTAACAAGCTTATCTTCATCTAATTGTTGCAAATCTTATTATAACCTCTTCTTCCTGTAGTTTTTTTAGTTTAACTTTGTGCACACCTTCATTTTACTTCACTTGTGGCCAGCTCCACATTGTTGTTGTATCAGAATTTGTGAAGAAAAATGCATGGCCTGAACTTGTACCTGAGCTGCGCTCTGCTATCGAGAAGAGCAGCTTGATTAGCAGTTCAAACTCTAGCTGGAGTACTGTGAATGCTCTGCTGGTATTGCTTACAGTTGTAAAGCCATTTCAGGTATTTATTACATTCTTTTTTGTAAGAAAAGAAGCATTATATTAAGGAAGTGATGAGCTTCAAACTTAGATTTTTATCTCTCTCTCACTCTCTCTCTCTCTTCCATCAGCTCTACTCTACTGCATCCCGTTTTTTATATATTATGGTTGAGCATCCCTTATTTTGATTGTGAACTTTTGTTCCTTCTGGCTGCAATATCTAAGAGTATGAACTACTTAAAAATCTGAAAACATGTGTACTGTGAAGTGGTAGTCCTCTGTTTTGAACCTGGTCCAGTGTGGTCTATTTAAATGACCATGGCTTATTTTTGTGTGTTTCCTTTACAGTACTTCCTTCAACCAAAACTTGCAAAGGAACCAGTACCACAACAGCTGGAGAGTATCACGAAAGAAATTTTAGTACCCTTGGTGTCAGTACTGCATCGTTTTACTGAGAAGGTTATCCTTTTCTCTCATTGTGTTCTTGTTCTTCATCTGCTTACAACTTTATGTAAGATATATCTGCTCTTTGGATCTCAATGAGTATTCCTATCTGGTATAATTATGAAACAGGCTTTGACTACAAAGGGATTAGGTGAACTGGAATTGGAAAAGACACTCCACATTATCTGCAAATGCCTATACTTTTCAGTAAGTTATACCGTCAGCTTATGTTGCAGATAGGCACAGTATCCAGAACTTTTGTTACATGTCTGGGTGATTGAATTTTGCCATTGATTATTAAACGTAATTATCAAATTTTCATTTCATCTTCATGTTGTACTATCTACTGTGATTGTTTTGTTAAGAGTGTTTTGTGTTGTAGGTGAAGTCCCATATGTCATCAGCTTTGTCACCTCTGCTCAGTTCCTTCTCTCGAGATATGATCAGAATTCTGGACTCCTTGAGTTTTGACTGGAGTGTCACTCCTTCAGATGGGAACTTGATGAGGTTGAAAGCTGGAAAAAGAAGTTTGCTCCTCTTTGGCACACTTGTCAGCAGACATAGAAAATACTCTGACAAGTATGTAAACACCTTAAAATCTTCTTAGCAATGCAGCATTCCCAATGATTATTTCCTAAACCTGTTGTATCTGATTTATGCAGATTGGTGCCGGAGATAGTAAACTGCTCAATGAACATTATCAAACATAGTTCCAATATCAGTGTATGTATGTTTAGCAAATTTCTTTGTTAATTTGTTTACTACAAAAAATGCTGCTTCCCATCAAAATGTAACTATCTTTTTAATCTAATGCTATGAGTGCCTGCTATCACGTGCAGAGGCTCGGATGTCTAACTGAGAGAATTATATCACTTGCTTTTGATGTAATTTCACGCGTCATGGAAATTGGCCCTGTAAGTTGTTAGCATGTTTACAACAAATCTAAATAGAGTTATTAAATGTCTATGAAAGCAAATATTTGGTACCTGAAAAACAGGGATGGAGATTACTTTCACCCCATTTTTCTACTTTGTTGGATTCTGCAATCTTTCCAGCACTGGTGCTGAATGAGAGGGTACAATTTCCTTTATCGCAATCTCTGTTGCAAGCATTTCTTACTACCATTATTTCAAAAACTTTACTGGTCTTTCTGATTTGCTTTTGCAAGTAGGACATATCTGAGTGGGAAGAAGATGCAGATGAATTCATAAGGAAAAACTTTCCATCTGAACTAGTATGAAAATTTATCTCTTTCTCTCTACACGGATTGCTTTTATGTCTATGATCTAGAAGTGAGGCAATAATATCATTTTCGTTTGGCAGGAAGAGATTTCTGGGTGGAGGGAAGACTTGTTTACAGCCAGGAAAAGTGCCATGAACTTACTTGGTGTCCTTGCCATGTCAAAGGTGAGGAAATAAGGTTGTTCATCAACCTATATCACATATTTGTTAATAGGTTCTTATAGGTTGTGATATAATTCTTATAGGGACCACCAGTATCTACTACAAATAAAGCATCCTCAGCTGCATGTAAGCGGAAGAAAGGTGAAAAGAGCAGAAGAAATAACCAAAGATGTATGGGAGATCTACTGGTGCTTCCATTTTTGTCAAAGTTTCCGGTGCCTTTGAAAAGTTACATACTGGATGCTAGTACTCCAGCAGCGTGAGTTCCTATACATATTCATGACTTCTGATTCTAACTCCTTGAAATTCTTGGCAGATGTCTAGTCCAAATTTTAAAATTGCTTTTGCAAGCTCTGGTCAATGGTACATGTTTGTTTTGGCGCAGTGAGTAACATTAATTTATGCTTGCAGTGTGTATTAGAAAATCTGTTCTTGTAGTGCGAAGTTTTGCAACTTGGTCTTCCATAATGCCATGTTTCCCAATCTCGTCATCAACTTGTTGTTGATATTATTTCAGTAGACTGAATATATATTTAATTCTCTTTAACTTCTCTGCCAGACTTCTCTTACAACTATTCAACATTTTGAAAATGTAATATCTGGTTGGAAGTGCTTTTTGTTAACTGTTCTCTTTCACTTTAATATTTTCTTGTTTTATTCCCTTTTAATTTGTGATTAAACTGACTTTTTTCCTATGTCTACATGTCAGCTATTTTGGTGTCCTAATGGCATATGGTAGCCTGCAAGAGGTGAGCAAATTTGGTTCTCTTTGTCTTGGAGTTGAGTATTTACTGATATATAACATAGAATTACAATGGCTCTCATTTTTTTTTGGGTAGTTTATCCAAGAACAAAATCCTGAGTATGTGGCATCTTTTGTCCGTACTCGTGTGCTACCGATTTATTCTACACCTGATGTCACACCTTACCTGGTTGCATCAGCAAATTGGGTACTTGGAGAGCTTGCGTCCTGCCTACCTGAGGTGTAAATTTAAACTTTTTCTTCTTGATGCTGCAAATTTTACTTTTTATTTATGCAAACCATTTGCTGGAAGATGGTATTCCTTTAGTCTCTGATTAAAATTTGTAATATTTTACTTCCAGTGATCACATATTGATTATTTGCTTTATGTTTCTAGGAGATGAATGCAGATATTTTTTCTTCCCTACTGAAGGCATTAGCAATGCCAGATCAGGTGGAGATCTCTTGTTACCCAGTGCGTGTTTCAGCTGCTGGTGGGATAGGTTCACTACTCGAAGTAAGTCTGCACTTTCATTAACAATAGCACTCGTAGCTTGAAGTGATGGCTTGTCATATCTAACTCAAAGAATATGTTTGCTCTCTTCAGAATGAGTACCAACCACCTGAATGGCTGCCGCTTCTTCAAATTATTATTGGTAGGGTTGGTAGTGAGGAGGACGAGGATGGCATTTTGTTTCAGCTTCTCAGATCTGTGATCGATTCGGGAAGTCAAGATATTTCCACACATATTCCGTACATTGTCTCTTCGCTAGTTAGTAATATGTTGCCGTTTCTGCATCCTAGTGAAGATCCATGGTCTCAGGTATATTTAATTCCTGCTTTCTTAATATTTTTGCTTATATTTGAAGCTTCAACAACATGAAACTAAAGGTAACGGAATGTATTCCTCGTGATTTGAAGTAAAAGAATTGCACATCCCACTTATTTTTAAATCACGCACATGAATCCTGGATTCTACCAAAATATTTGTAGAATTCCTGTTGTTCCTGGTCTAGGTATTGTGAATTTTTTGACTATCTTAATGGAGATTGCAAGTCGGTTCAACCTTATTTTTTCTGACTTTTTTTTTTTTTTTTTTTCCATCTTAGGCTATTCTAGGTGGCCTGGAGACATTAGCAGTAATGGCTCAGACTTATGAGAGCTCTAAGCCTGCAGCGAATGAAGAGAATAATCAGGCGACTGGAATATGGGTAACTGGTCAAGGCACAATCAGCAGAGCTTTGTCATCAATTTTACATCACGCATGGCTGGTAGTTAAATTTACTCTAACCCCTCTGTTATATCTTTAAACATTACGACTCCTCTGTGTACTTGAAATTATAGATCTTGAAACACGATTCTAATTTTAAGATTTTGCTCTGCCTTTTATCACTGTATCGTTCAGACAACAGATGTGCCTCCGACTTCATGCGTAGATCATTTGTCGATGATGTTGCGGTTCATTGTGATTGCTTCCACTAATTGCAATGAGCTCAGATTAACTGAATTACTCGTAGTTTGGGCTGATATTCTTGCTAGCTGGAATGGTTGGGAAGAGTCGGAGGACTTATCAATTTTTGACTGCATAGAAGAAGTTGTGGGTATAAACAACAAATATGGTTTTAGGAGTTTCCTTTTCAGAGATATGCCATCTCCGCCAGCCATGCCAGTCCGTCCACAATCTGTTGCTGAATCCATTGGTTCATTTGTCAGCAAAGCCATACTTGAGTATCCGTCTGCCAGAAGGAGGGCTTGTTCTTGTGTCCACACGTTATTACATGTACCAGACTACTCTTCTGACATCGAAGGGGTGGGAAAATCATTGGCAATGGTCTTCAGTGAAGCAGCCTTTTCCCGTTTTTTAGGGTTGCGCGAGAAACCTTGTACTTTGTGGAGGCCTCTATTACTGGTAATATCGTCATGCTATATCTCCTATTCCGATGTTGTGGAAATTGCTTTAGAGAAAGTGATATCTGGAGGTTTTGAGCTATGGGCATCTTCATTGGCATTTTCATACTCACTTACGTTTGATGCCACTCCAGCATTAGCATCGGAAATAAAACTATATGGTGAGTAGATATATCTAATGTGCTGATGATTCAGAAGGTTTAGTTGTGTATATAGTAGCTATATGAGCATAGACTAAAAGATCACTTGTCTTCAGTGATGACGCTAGTAAAGGTGATCGAGCAGCTTTTAGATGTAAAGCATGGGAATGCAACTGATGATTTGGCAAGGAAGTGCTTTGTTTCATTGGTGGAGGCTTCTCAGAGGCTAAAAGAATTGAATGAAGAAACAGACGATGATGAAGATGATGGAGAACCTGGAGAAGAAGAGACAGAATCTGAAGAAACTGATTCAAATGACGAGGTTTGATTTGATTACTAGTACTCGTTATTAAATTACATTCAAAGTATGGTCCGTAATTTACTGTTAAAACTAGTATAAGAATATAAAGTCAGATAAGCAATCAGTTTCTGGTCCAGTTGCAAAGTAGTTTATGAATGGCTAGTTTCTAAAAAAAACAACATTAGATCTTGTAGTGATCTGATTTGTTTCTTCCCAAATATGCTGTTTCATCTTGTGTGTTTTCTGAACAGGATTCCGAGAGCGATGAGTGTGAAGAAACAGAGGAAGAATTTCTGGAAAGGTATGCTAAAACTGCAGCAGAGTTGGAGAATAGTGAAGTAACCGAAGAGGAAGATGAAGAAGATGATGAACATGAGATTGATTTGGGTAAGTTTGCTCATCAGAACAAGATAAGAAACAACTTTTTGCTTTGCTTAAAATCAAGATTTTTAATGCTCTTTTAAATACTGATTTTGCAGGTTCTCTGAATGAAATTGATCCGCAGAAACTGGTTTTATCATTAATGGAGAAGCATCACGAGAAAGTAATCAAACTCGTACCCTCAGAAGTTATCTCAACTTTTCTCAATTCTTTTCCTGTGTTCACAAGTCTCTTCTCTAAGTGCCTCTAAACATTAAACTATAGTTTTTCTCTTTGTCCAAGTTTTGATGCGGTTTTGGTTCATGATGTGTTTACGATTCTGAGTCAGTTTCATGTTCCATGTTTCATTGAGACTTTTGAGCCATTTACAGAAGTTTAAAACTTTTCTGATCAAAAAAGGCTTGATGGTCTTTTTTATATGCGGAGATATTTTTTTTTGTAAGAAATTACAAATTTTGTATACTGTTACGAATTTTAAATATTGATCACTTATTTTTTAGTGGTATGCAATTACATATTTGGATAATGTAGGGTAGGACATACAAATCTGGGCAACTAACGACTTTTATTTACCGTTTCTGGTAAGGGGATCTTGCAAACCATTGGCTATAAACCTACCTGTAAAGGTCAGTTTCAAGGGTATTATCGACTTTAGCATCACTTGGATTCTTCGGACGAAAACGCCGCGTATTACATACAGTGGAATCTGTCTTTGCGCGTCTTCTGAGTTTCTCTGTCTTTTCCATTTTCTTTTCCCCTCACTGAAGCGAATCTTCTCGTCGTCTTCTTCTCTTCGTTTCACTCATCTCAGTGTTAGGGTTTCGATTCGGTAGATTATTACTCAGCTATTTCTGCTGAACCTTTTTCTCGGTTGCTCTACCTCTTTGTCGGTACCCAATTCTTCTCATTGGAAGAACTGTTTAGGTCAAGTGTGACTTGATTCTGCCAAATTTCTGGTACTGTGATCAAATTGCTGCTAAAGTTTGTCTGCTCTTATATCTGGATTTGTTTTTTTTATAAGCATATTTGATTCTTAGCTTCTCGTTTATGTAAGCTTCTAAGCTTTTTTTGTTCCGTGCTTTATGAATATGATTGAGTACTTACTGGTTCTGTATTATATTTAGGGCTCTCTTTTTCATTTCAAGTGACTCTTCGAGTGTGTTGTTTAGAATTTGTAGATTTTTGTAAAAGGATCAGCTCTCTAATTGTTTTGCAAGAGAATCTTGTGAGTGTTTTTTTTTTGCTACTGTACTAGTTTCTCTCTGTTCTGGGGTTTGTATCTTCACTGAAAAGGCTTTTAGCTGATTTCCTTAGTTTAATGTATTCTTCGTTGAACAATGGTCACGAAAGTTCCATCTTTTTACGTTCTTATAGAATCTATATATTTCAGGTGTTTGTTCAAACTCCATTGAACAATATATTTTGTCATATATTGAAGCAATGTATACCGAGGGAGGCCCTAACTTTGTCATTGACCAGAGCATGTATTATCCTGCTTATTACTGTTCAGGTTGGTAGCTGCTTCACGAAATTTACTTATCTCTCTTGCGCTGCCAATTCCTTAATGTACTGGATTTCTTTTTCAGGTTATGATTCATCCATCGATTGGGAGAACTGTCAGGTTGGTGTAGATGGTTCAGAGGTCCAATACATGGTGCGTGAACCTCTCACAATCGTCATTCACAGAAACTTGCTGTTTTTTTTTGTTATCTTCTTATTGGCTAAAATTCTAATCTTGCATCTTCAGGGTGGGCAGAATGAAAATTCTCCCTATATATGCTATACACCAAGTTATGGATATGCGCAGTCTCCTTACAATCCGTACAATCCTTACATACCAGGCGCGTCAATAGGTGTTGACTCTTCGTTTGTTGGATTCCAGCAATACTACTCCAACGCCCCGTATGAAAATGCTGCATCTTCACCTACATATGTTCCATATGTCATTCAGCCTGATACAGTCTCAAATAGTTCAGCAGACTCTTTGGTAGCAACTGATTTAGCCAATGGTGGTCAATATGATGTAAGAGGATCTAGACAGAGAAATGGTTCAGCAATTGCCGGTTTCCCAAAAGATTCTCCAAAATCTTCAACAATGAATTCTTTGGGTAGGACCTATGAGAAGCTAAGCTCTAGCCCTGGACAGAATAAACAGCCAGGAATCTCCAAGAATGTTTCCACTCCAGCTACTACACAGTCTTGCCAGGTGATTTCTCGTAAAAAAGTAATTCCTGATTTGATTTTCTTTTGAATATTCGGTGTGCTTATGCATCACGAGGAGTGTTTTGTTGATAAAACAGGGCTATCTTAGTCATTCATTCCTTAGGTGATTCTGGAGTCGTGTATGTTTTTGCAGGACAAAACTGCTTCCGTTGACATTGTATCCAGCAGCAGACTCTTGCCTCGTGGGCAATTAGACAGTGCTAATGGGTTTTCATCCGTTGCTTCAAATAGTTACAAGTCTCGTTCCAAGATGTATGATGGCGGAGGTGATAACGACCTAACTCGAAGTCCAGATACGACCGAACAATATCGAGGTCCAAGAACGAGAAGATCAAGAAATCAACTTGTTGTCAAAGCTTATACAACCAAAGCTGGAAATGTTGATGCAGAAGGAAATATTGTGATAAATCCTGATCAATATAATAAAGAAGATATCAGAATAGATTACAGCAAGGCCAAGTTTTTTGTGATTAAATCGTACAGTGAAGATGATGTTCACAAGAGCATCAAATACGGTGTCTGGTCATCAACATTGCATGGGAACAAGAAATTGCAGAGTGTATATGAAGATGCTCAGAGAATAGTCACTGAGAAGTCTTGTGAATGCCCTATTTTCTTATTCTTCTCTGTGAGTCCATTCTTCCTTTTTGTCACTGGTGCTAATGTCCTTGAATTCATACTTTGTGCTTATGCTGCTTCCTTGCTTTAGGTCAATGCCAGTGGTCTTTTCTGTGGTGTGGCTGAGATGACCGGTCCAGTTTCCTTCAACCGAGACATGGATTTTTGGCAACAAGACAAATGGAGTGGAAGCTTTCCTGTCAAATGGCATATCATTAAAGATGTTCCTAATAGCTATTTTAGGCACATTATTTTACAGAATAATGAAAATAAGCCAGTGACCAACAGCCGAGACACACAAGAGGTGAGTTTTTTTTTTATTAAAGCTTTTGACACTTCACTTGTAAACCAGATTCCAAGAACTCTGAAATCCCAATCTTATCATGCTCGTTTGTGTGCAGATAATGCTGAAACAAGGACTTGAGGTGCTAAAACTATTCAAAAATCATGCAGAAAAGACTTCGCTGTTAGATGATTTTATATACTACGAAAACCGCCAGAGACTCATGCAGGAAGAGAAAGCTAGACTTCCATTCAGGACCTTTCGCAGCCCATTTCCCGTTCCCAAACCGGATAATTCTGACAGAAGCAAGAAATTTTCCAAAGATGTCTTCAAGAAACCTTCAGTAACCTCGACAGAAACAGAAGTTGTGCGGTTAAAAAACTCAGATGGGGATAAAAAGAGCAATACAGAGGAACTTAGAGACGATTCTACTCCTTCCACTCTGAAGATTGGCTCTCTCACAATTAAACCGACTGCTGGTACCAGCTTTAACCCAACCGAAGCCAAGTATAAACAGGCCTCATCTCTCAGCTTGCACGGCAAGTCAGACTCCTCTAAAGAGGTTCCTGGGTCTCTGGCTGATGACATCGTGAGAGTAGGATCGTTGCCCATAAAAGTAAAGGGATCTGTAGATTCATCCTCGAAGTTCGCAGTGGTTGGTACAACTCCTCTCAACTCAAGATCACTTCATAAGTAAATCGGGGGTTTCGACATTGTCTCTGTCTAACTTGTTTATGCATAATATGGCTCGAGAAAAAGTTTTGAGTATGTATAGATTGGTTCAGGGTCTGATGGGTGGTTTGAGAATCCTTGTTCATCGTTGAAGTTTGGTTAAATGATTGTTTCCAGCGGTTGCAATTTGGTTTGTTGGGTTTGATAAAAGAGTTGGTTCATCTTTACTTTAAACACACCGAACTAGTTATAGATTGTGGTGTCTTCGTTTACAAAGGAGAGCGTGGAAGTTTTGAGCCGAGGCCCGTAGTCTTCTCGAGCGAGAGTAACCGTAACGTATTTGACTGAACCGTCTCAATATAAAAGATTGAAAGCGTAGAAGAAAACCCTAATCCACATTTCACCAAACCCTACTGACGACCTAACTGAAACAATGACGAAGATTTGCGATCTTCCACGGGATTTGGCAGAGGAGGTGCTCTCTAGGCTTCCGGTGACATCTCCGAGAGCATTGCGATTTACATGTAAGAAGTGGAACACTTTATCCAAATGTAGGAGCTTCACAAAGAAGCAAATTGGTCGGGAACAAGCAGAAGCAAAGAAGAAGAAGCAAGAGAAGGCGTTTCAGGCGATCATGACAATGAATTATAAGGTTTATCTGATGAGCGTCAATCTAGATGGAATTCACAAAGACGACGATAACGTTCAATCATCTATAAAGCAGAAAGGTAAACTTATTAGCCTAAACGGTGCTGATCAAATAGATATATCTAAAGTCTATCACTGCCACGGTTTGTTGTTATGCATCACCAATGATATAAACTCTAGGCTTATGGTTTTGAACCCTTATTGTGGGCAAGCGAGGTGGATCGAACCTAGAGATTCTTATTGTAGGGACAGCTACGCTCTCGGATACGAGATGAAGAACAACGTCAACCGAAGCTACAAAATTTTGAGATGTGTGAATGATTTCAAAGACATGAGCGAGATGAGTATAGAGCCTCGAACTAGAATTTGCGAGTTTGAAATCTACAATTTTGACTCTCACTCATGGAAGAGTAAGACTGTCAAGGTCACTCCCAACGACTGGGATATATTTTATGGCTGCAGTGGCGTGTCTGTCAAGGGAAACACTTACTGGTTTGTTCAAGAGAGGATCCCACCACTAGAAGAGATCCCAATAGATGTGATAGATGAGCTGCGAGAGGCGCCTAGTTTCTTAATATGTTTTGATTTTACAACAGAGAAATTTGGATCACGTCTGCCTCTGCCATTTCCTTGTTTGAGGAATGATACTGTAACGCTATCTAGTGTTGGAGAGGAGAAACTTGCGGTCTTATATCATCGATGGGATTCAATGTATACGAAGATATGGATCAGTAACAAGATTGATCAACCTAATGCACTGTCGTGGAGCGAGTTGTTCTTAAATATGGGTAAGATGAGACCACTCGAGATGAGATCTGCGACTTTCTTTGTTGACGAAGAGAAAAAACTCGCTGTGGTTTTTGATAAAGGCAAGAGTGTATATAACCCCACTTGCAACACAGCTTACATCGTTGGAGAAGATGGATACAGCAAACAAGTAGATCTCGGAGAGTCTGTTGATAAATATTTGTTTCCACGTGTCTACTCTTATGTTCCAAGTTGTGAGCAAATCTAGCAACCTTGCACCACCAGGAGAGGAGGCTAAAGGAAGAAACCACGTTACTAGTGCTCTAGTCCATTTACAAGCCCTTCAATGCTTATTCTTACTACTCTTTTGTTTTGTTTTCTTTTTGTCAATTTTTTTTTTTGTCAATTGTTCTTTGAACAAAATTAGTCAAATTTTAATGTATTTCTCATCTTTTATGTGCAATATTATTGAAGAATAAATATTTTTTAAAAAATTTTACATTGTAGTTTTAATTACGTTATGGGAAATGTTTTTTGAAATATATATAAACTTGGTTTTCAAAATTATTAACTCACACCTGTCAATATCTTACTAAGAAAATTATTGTAAAAAAAACTATACAATATCTTACTAATTCTAAGAGAAAAAGCTCTTTTCCTTATAAAAAATAAAATAATATATATGTAACTAAGGAAATGTTACAATTAATTAATTATTTGAACTCTAGCCAGTTAAAAAGATCTCCCTACAATTTTAGCATTTTAAAACATAAAACAGAAACTAATAAGTTGGTATTTTTGTCTGAGACAAATAAACCTCTATGATCTGGACCGTTCATTTTTCTCACGCGCTAAATCTACCGGACTGCTTGGAGTTTTCATTAAAGGGTAATCAATAAAAAAATTCCGAATTCGTTTTCAGATTTCACCACAGTCGGGGGCTGTGTAGTTCACGCGCCGCTGTACATTGCGATCAAGTTCGCTTTCCTCCTCCGGACTAGACTCGATTGGCTGAGACGCGGACCACCGGACAGGCATGCACTCTTCTTCTTCCTCACCTAGTACGGTTACTCTTTCTCTATATGGGTCCTTTTTGTCTCGCAATCTCTGGCTTTTACTTTATAAGTCTCACTCGTGCTTTCATCTATTACTTGGAACATTTTTGGGGTTTTACAAATTTATTTGATTTCATCTTTTCCCTTTCCGTTTATGGTAGAATCATCGATGAGCTAAGAAGCTGCTCAACTCTATTTCTTCTTATGTTATTTGAGGAACATTTAAAAACGAGGTGACACTGACACTATTCCCTTGGGTATTTTGCAGGCTTTTCATGAGATAAAATTTCTATTTTGCTGAGTAGAAATGGTATGGAACTTGGCTACACTGACACTATTCCATCTATGTGTTGCATGTTTCTCACAAGTTTTGTGGAATCTTCCAGGGTGATTTGCGTAGAGGAAACGGTGGTGGAGGTTCCTCTAATCATGAAAGGAATGAGCAGATCCTGTTTCCAAAACCGGAGACCTTGGATTTTGACTTGCCCTGTGACACGTCTTACCCTCAACAGATTGGTGTATGTTTAGCTCTTTGTACCTTAAGAGGACACAAATGGCTTGGGTTCTGCATAAACTAGTGTCTACATTTTATTTTAAATGGTCTTGTGTTGTCTGTGTACTTTCTCATTACGTTTCTAAATATACTTGAACATCTTTTGAAAAAACTAGACAACAGGTAAGTAGGTAAACAAAACAATCAGTGGTTTCCGAAGGTTCTTATTTTTCCCTACTTGATATGCAGGACAATGCTGCTAGTTCTTCTGGAAGTCATATAACATCATTGCTGACTGAGATGGGATTCTGCCCAACTCTTATTCAGAAAGCAATTGATGAAAACGGTATTCTAAAACTTCCCTGTGGAAATGAAAGGCTTCCCTGATTGCTAACTTTCATTTAGGGGATATAATTACTGAGGTTACCTTTTCACATCCAGGTGAAGATGATTTTGAATTGTTATTAGAGATTCTCACTAAGAATAATGTGACAGAACATCCTGGACCCAGCTTTCATGGGCTACTGGAACCCAAACCGGTAAAGCACATAGTACTGTTGATGCGCATCTCTTCTATTCCATTTGGTGTTGTTTCTTAATAATTCTTCCTTTTCTCTGACAGGAGCCTGGTATTGAATACGAAACCGATGGTAAAAGGACAGCCTTACTAACAATGAAGTTTCCAGAAAATCTAGTTGACTTTGCATTCGATAGGCTTGGTAATGTTTTCACAATGAATTTGGCTTTCCATTTATAATTTCAACATCTTGCAAAGGTTGCATTATATCTTTTCTAGCTCTTCATGGTATGGATTTCACATATTAGCATTTATTCTTATCAGGTTATGTTTTTTGAGTAGCTATAGAAGTAGTGTACATTACAAATGGACCACATTCCTCTTTCAAGATTTTGATTTTATTTTTGTCTTCCGGTAGATTAACCTCTCTTCATACTGGATTTAATTATTTGGTATGCAAAATATACAAAACTGAGGAGACTTATAAGTTATAATGTGACGCCAAAATATATTTCTGACCTCAGAAATAACATCTATGAAGCTGTTGTTTAATAATGCTTAAGCAGAAATACATTGCCTGTGACCGTATTAGAAATTTTCATAGTTTAAAGAAAATAATAATCATGGATATGTATTGTTTCTCTGAGTCGCCAATTTTTTTCTTCATGATTTTCTTTTTTGTGTGATAGGTAAAAACGCGCCAGTCGATGAGATGGTAGACTTCATTGTTGCTGCCCAATTAGCTGAAAAATATGCGGAGGAATCCGAAGACTCACTTGATGGTGCTGAAATCAATGAAGAAGATGAAAATGTCGCTCCAGTTACTGCTCGGGGACCTGAGGTCTTTGGTGCTTTTAACATTAGCTGTTGATTTTCTTGTCAATACTTTAATCGTCCTTTATGTCCTTTTGCAGGTTCGCCGTAGTAGAATTCTGTTTGCACTACCTGTCTTTTGTTTTCATTCTGTATAATATATGTTGTTGTTACCTTTATTATCTTTAACCTTTGTTTTGTGCTTTACATTCAGGTTCCCAATGAATTATTGTTTGAAACAATGGATAAGACTTTGCATTTAATGGAAATGGGATTTTCTAATGATGAAATTTCAATGGCAATTGAGAAGATAGGTGAGCAACTTCTGCGCTTATGTGTTCAATCCATGACTATTATATGTTTGAAAGAAACAATACAGATATGAAACCTATCTTTTATATGTAGTTAGGTGTGATTATGATAATTTTAAGGTGAAATATTATCATTGATTTTGCAGTCCATCCTGTTGTACTGATAAAGAATCTATTTTGCACCTCTTCAGGTACAAAAGGTCGGATTTCTGACCTCGCTGAGTCAATTGTTACTGGTGAAGTTCCTAGTGTATGTTACGATGACCTTGAAGATACAGAAAAGGTATGTTCATTATAATTTTTTGAAGTAATCTTTTCCCGCCCTCAAATGACTCACTTGAGAAGTGCTGTGCTGAAACTAGAGCCTTGGCTGCTACTTCACCGAAACCATCTCTTTCTCTGCTATTAATTGAACAAAGTTTTTGTTGGAGTTTTACTCAATGATATTTGGTGCCACTGTAGAAAGTTTCAGCGGCGGCTCCTGCAGTGAATCAGACATGTCTTTCAAAGAGTTGGAGATTTATTGGTGTTGGTGGGGGTTCGTCTAGTGGCACTGCTAATGTAAAACCAGATCCTGGTATTGACTCCTATCCTTTCCCTGCCACTGCCAATGCGGGAGAGACCTCAAAGGGTAAACGACCAAAAGATGAGGATGAGAATGCTTACCCAGATGAATGCACTTACCACGATGACAGAGGGAAACGGTTAAGACCCGAATATATGGGAGACTCAAGCTCGTTTATGGAAACCCCATGGATGCAAGATGAGTCAAAAGAGGACACCTATGAGTTTCCTAGAGTAATGCAGCCACGTTTGTCCCAAAGTCTTGGCCCGAATGTAGCCAAACGACCTTATTTCTTCTATGGAAACTTAGGTGAATTATCTCCAAGCTGGTGGTCGAAGATCTCATCGTTCTTGTTTGGTATTCACCCAGAACATGTAGATACTCGGTTGTGTTCACCCCTCCGTAGGACAGAAGGGTACCTGCACAATCTTCCCATCCAAAATCGGTTCAATATCCTCCCAAATCCTCGGTTGACTATACAAGACGCTATGCCACAAATGAAGAGTTGGTGGCCACAATGGGATATCAGAAAGCATCTGAATGGCGGCTCGTGTTCTAGAACAAACGATGTAACTCTTCTCTGTGAACGAATTGGACGCCGTATAGCTGAATGCAGGGGAAAGCCTACTCAACAAGACCAGACTCTAATCCTTCGACACTGTCACAGCTCAAATCTCGTATGGATTGCTCCAAACATCCTCTCACCTTTGGAGCCTGAGCATATGGAGTGCATTATGGGATATCCAACAAACCACACAAACATTGGTGGTGGAAGATTGGCGGAAAGATTAAAGTTGTTTGATTATTGCTTCCAAATAGACACATTGGGTTTCCATCTCTCTGTACTCAAGTCTATGTTCCCTGAAGGGTTAACAGTTTTATCACTCTTTAGCGGGATTGGTGGTGCAGAAATTGCCTTGGACCGCCTTGGAATCCGTCTAAAAGGCGTTGTCTCGGTAGAGTCCTGTGGATTGAGCCGTAATATACTGAAAAGATGGTGGCAGACTTCGGGACAAACCGGAGAGCTTGTGCAGTTTGAAGACATCAAGAGCTTAACGACAAAGAAGCTGGAGACTTTGGTGCAGAGATTTAAGGGATTTGACTTTATCATTTGCCAGAACCCATCAACACCACCTGATCTCTCTAAAGAAACCCCAAGAAGCGAAGCCTGTGAATTTGATTATACGTTGTTTAACGAGTTTGTCCGTGTCGCAAAACGTGTCAGAGATATGATGGAGTTAAGTTGACCAACTGCCTTTACCTCCTCAAGAACCTAGAGAGTTGTCTCATCTTAGGAGTTTGCCGTTTTTATTTCTGAAGGTAACTCGGTAAATCTTGGAGACTTTTCATGGTTTGAATCTCTTAGTGTTGGAGAGATCTTTTTTATATGAAAAACGGGTATCAGTTTGTATGTTTCATAACCCGCATAGAACGTGGGCTTGTTCTTTTTCATAGCTATGCTACTTCTTGGAGATATAAGCAGTAAATCATGTAGATTAGTGTTGTTGTACTTTGTTCACATTTATGTAATATATTAGCCTTATTTATGAATTCGTTCTGTTTAGCTCAATGTTAGTTGGTTGCAATCATACTCATTCCCAGTCGAAAGGGGTTCCTTTTGGACTCATTTCGCCAAACTAAATTATTTATGATCTGAGGTGTGTAATAAGTTATAAACTAGATTCTAAACCAGAATAGAAGAGTTGAATGATTTGACTTGAAGTGGATAACCATTTGAATGATTGATTGAATACCAAAATCATAAAATGTTGAGTCACAGATGCTACTCGGCGAAGTCTTTTATTAAAGCCAACATTAGTTGCATTATTAGCTTACAAGCCTTGAACCAGAGAGAGAGAGAGAGAGAAAGAGTATAACAATGGGAGTCTGCAACCAGACTGCATCAGGATCTCTGGCTAACCTTGCCTCCTGTCAGCTTTGCCGACTCAAACAACATGTGATTAATGAGTCCCCGAGCAGCACTGCCAAATACCAGTATCAGAGAATTTTGAGTCATTCCAAACTTTTGAAATAGATATACATACATATATTCCACGAGTATTCAGTAATATATGATCTTGCGCGGCTGTGTGTGTGTGTGTGTGCGAGTGAATGTGCGTTTGTGTGTACATGAGTGTGTGTGTGAAGCATCATCTTTTTGCAAAACATGCCTCAACGAACAAGTCTCAATAATCACAAGGTTCTCTGAGGTATATAGCATTCACTACAGATTGGGGAGAAAGAAAACTCACTCATCTTTAAGCTTCTGAATCTTCTCAGGATCTGTCTCATTCATATGTTTCTTAAACTGTTGCCTCACCATACCAACCACTAGCTCAGTGTTGTGTTGCTGCAAGAAACAAACGGGTGAAGGTAAAGAACACTGATAGATTTCAATCGGCATCTATATATACAATAAACTCGATTTTGTTTCAAAGCCCTACAAATGAAATCATTGTATCCAAACATTAAGCTACAAACAAGAATGGCAATCAAAACTAAGCACACCCCATTCTCTGAGTCTGACAAAGCAGGTTCATATTCAAAGCTCAGAAAAACAATTAGTTCTAAATCTCACCTGCTTACCAATAAATTTAGCTCTACGAAGACATTCTCGGTACAACTGCCCACAAAGGACGAATAGATCAGTGAAATAGCATCAAATTAAGAAAAAACAAATCACAAGTTAAGGATGAGGAGATTGGTACTGACCCTAACCACATTGTTAGCGAGTTCAGGAGGCAGAGAAGTTTGCAGTGACGGCATTTTCACAAGAATTGTTGAGCTTCTTCAATTACAGCCTAACACAAACCACAACCTATCGATCAGAAGAAACGATGCAAATACACAGAACCCTAAACCCTGAAGCAGCAGTCACTGAAGAAATGAGCTTTGTTTTTTTTTCTAGTCCCAATCCCAAATAAAACTGATAGAAGAAAGAAGCCGCTGTTTTTATAAATATTTAACCATTAAGGAATGAACCCAAAAATAATGTCATAACTTAATTACAATTCCGGCAGCCATTAAAATACCAAATCTGATACTCAGTAAGGATCGTCAACAACACGAAATGGAGAAAGCAAAGATATTGGACTAAAGAGAGGAAATAGATGAAATCAATACAACATTTTCAAACCAAATAGAGAGCGAAAAGGAGAGAAAGAAAACAAGATCGAGACGTACCGGAGAATAGACCGGACGGCGAAATATCGAGCTTGAGAGAGACGGAGAAAAGCATTCAACGGTGACTGCTTCCTCCTCCGGTTTAAGATTTCAACTTTCAGGTTAAGCATAGGAAACGACGTCGCTAGAGAATTTATTTTTTACAAACGGCCCAAAACGTTGGCCCATTTATATATCCAAGTAAAATATTCGAAAGAATCTCATCCGTCCACTGTTTGCGTTATTTAAACCGTACATTAAATCGTAATTTTGTTAAATTAAATTTGAATGTCTTCAAGGATTTTGGGAAAACAAATTGATCTGCTGCACGGTTTATAATTGTTTATAGAAACCTTACATATTGTTCTATAAAAATGGAAATGGAAATTAGTCAATATTTTAGTAAACCGATCACACAGACTTTATTTTATTTTATCCGAATTGAACCTATTGTGCTACTTGAACTTAAAACGGATTGAAAAGCCCAAAATCGTTTGACATTTTTTGTTTAACTTCAAACTTGCTCATTAACATTTTTCTCTCACAGAATCGAAACATAATATTCGAAGTAATATTATCAGTTCACCATAGTTCATCCTCAACCATCAGATTCACCGTCTCCATAATAAATCTCCTAAATTAAAAGAAAGTATCCAGTAGGAGAAAGCCACGTACCTAAATACCTCAAGTAACCATTCCCGCGTATATTGATTAATAAAGATCCTAGAAAGATTTAGGAATTGGAAAATCGGAATCGTCACATCTTTCTCTGACTCTAAAACCTAAAAAAATCAGCTCTCTCCCGTTCGTCTTCCCCAAACAGAAACTTTGCTATGGACTCATCTTCAGGTTCTAATTTCTTTTTCCTTTTTTCAGTTTAGTGTTTACTTATGCCTCGACTCCGATAAATAGATATACTTGTAGTACTGTCTTCTTGTTTTGTTTTTTTTTTATTTGATTTCACTCTAATTTTCTAGAGTTTATACTGTTCTCTGTGCTATAGATTTAAAATGGTTTGACTTTCTCTGCTTATGTTTATGTAAAGTGCATATCGTTTTCGATGATATTCTAATAAATAACTGGTTTTCGTTTTTTAATTAGATATGAGGAAGAAACTAAAGTCTGAGCATTCGATGGTAGACGAGGAGAAAGAAGCTCATAACGCTATGGCCAAGTGGTTCATTGCTTCTGAGGTTAATCCTAATACCATTAAGACCCCTTCCTTTGCAAAGTTAATGAGCTTCATGGAACCCAAGTTTCCTCCTAGTGTTTCTAAAGTCGAGAATGAAGTTCTTGAGATCTACGAGGAGTGTAAAGACAAGGCTAAGAATTATTTCAAGGGTTTTGAAGGACAGTTAACACTCTCTTATGAATGGATGGTTCTTGGTAATGGCTGGGCTAGGAAGTACGTTAAAGGCCCTGTTTTGCATGATGATTTTGTCTGTCTGACCGCTCATTTCGTGGACGATAACTGGAAGATGAAGAAACGGATCTTGGGGTACACTACTGACGAGGACATACCTATGGAGGATTTTTATGTTTACTCTTTCAGGAACGCTGTTCAAGATTTTGAGATTGAGAACAAGGTCTCTACTCTTCTACTTCCTAACAGTGAGGGTTTTGATGAAGAAACTCTAGATCCTTTCATGAAATGGATGGAAGAGAGAGGGAACAATCAGTTCAATCCAAGGGTTTTGTTACTCTATTGCTGCTCTGATCTTTTCCGGTTAATGGTTGATGATTTGCTTAGTGAATTCAGCTGGTCCCTGCTAGAGGATTTGCGTATGTTGGTTGGATGGGGAAGATGTTCATCAACCAACTGGAACGTCACTTTGTCTAATCTGCAACGAGCTGTTGATATGAAAGCTGAGGATGCATTCTCAAAGGACGAGATTTACGATGATTATGACAAACCATCTGATGAAGATTGGATTAAGATTGAAACTTTTTGCAAACTCACTGGTTGCATCTATAAAGTGACAAAGGAGCTTTTCGAGGGAGAGTATTCAACATCTAACGTCTTCTTCCACCTTCTTGCTGAGCTGAGGGTAATGTTGAATCAAGAGCTTGCAAGTGCTGATAATGATTACTTCATCGACAAAGCTAAGCAGATGTTGGAGAGGTTTGATAAGTATTGGAACGATATGTTTTTGGTTTTGGCAATTGCTTCTGTTCTAGACCCTCGGTTTAAGACGAAGTATCTCGAGTTTTACTGCTCAAAGAAGGATGTTAATGCTGAAGGTTCAAAACCTGAAACTGTTTTGGACTATTTACGAAATCTATATGCTCGATATGCAGCTAGCGACATCTGTCAAAAACCAATATGCGCGGTTGCTACAATTGACTCCTCTGACTCTGAAAAAGATGAAGAAGAAGATAATGATGAAGGAGAAGAAGAAGAAGAGTATGATACTGAAGATGGTGAAGGGGAAGAAAAAGAGGAAGAAGAAGAAGAGGAAGATGTCAATGAAGGAGAAGAAGCTAAAGAAGAAGAAGAAGAGAAGGACAAGGAAGAGAAGAAGCCTGATGCATACGAGGACTTTGTTTTGTTTCAGGAATATCTCAAATTTGAAGGAACTCCAAGAGAGCAGCAAGAATCAGAGCTTGATTCCTACCTCAAAGAAGCGGTTATGGAGTGGAACAAAGACTTCAAAGCATTGGAGTGGTGGAGGGAAGAGAGCCAAAAGTATCCAATACTCTCCCGAGTAGCCCGTGACATTCTCTCAATACCAATCTCACGTGCCACCTCGTATGACGCTTATGTTGCGGACAAAAGAGAGCCTCCTGAGTTTGTTGTCTCCATGAAACCAAAAGTTGCTAACGCCATGATGTGCAGCAAGAAATGGTTACGACTTTGCGATCAAAGGCAAAACTAGTAAGAAGTTGCTTCTTCTTTATTTCACTAGTAAGAACTATGAACTTAAATTGCTTTTGTGGCTTTCATGAAACTCAACATTTATCTGGGTTTTGATACTTTCATTTTCCATTTCTATATCAATAAACATGTTCCTTTTCAGTGATGCTGTTGTTAAAGTTAATAATAAATCGGTCATTTTTGTTAAACGAAAATTCGAGTAATAACAACTCTTGAGCTCACAGTAAGTGAAGTGTTATTAATCCCTCCTAGTTCGAAGTTTCTTTGATCTCATCCGTCCACAGTGTTTAGTTTTTAACCGTCCGATTAAGCTCCTGGAACAATCAACCCCCTAAAAGAAAGAAAGGAACCAATAGCACAAGGCCACGTAAGATAATACAACTCTAGTAGTATTTCCCGCGTAAATGATATCAGTAAAAATATCCTAAGGTATCGGAAATCAGAATCGTCACTTATTCCTTAAAAAGCAAAACCCTAAATCACTCTCTCCGTATCGTTCATTTCCCCAAACGGCAGCATCGTTGATATGGACAAAGGTGATCTCGCCTCCAGCTCATCTTCAGGTTCTAATTTCTCCTCCTTGTTATTTCCAAATCAGTGTCTCCGGAGATGTTTTTTTCTGACTGATAGATATATGTACTCGCATTGTTTTCTTGTTGGGTTTTTTTTCTTGGACTAGACCCCTAATTTCTACTCTTTGTTCTGTTCCGATCTCACTTTTATGATTTTACTTTATGAGGTTGTGAATCTATGGGTCTGTGTGTATATGTTTATATATGGCTTATATTTTTTTTTGGTTAAATGTTAAACAAATATATGGCTTAATTATATTGTTTGGGTTTTTTTTTTCTTTCCCCGTGCTCATGTGTTTGAATTTGCTTTTCAATGTGTGTATTTTTAGATATGAGGAAGAAACTAAAGTTAGATGATTCTATGGTAGATGAAGAGGTGGCGGGTGATAGTCTTCCTTCACATGCTGAGAAGGAGAAATTTTTTCACAATGCTATGGCCGAGTGGTTCATTGCTGATGGGATTACTCCTAATATTATCAATAGGAACCCCACGTGTGCCAAGTTTTTCAACTGCCTAAAACCGGAATTTCCTCCTAGCGTTACTGAAGTCAAAAAGGAGGTTCTTGAGATACACAAAGAATGTAAAGAGAAGGCTAAGAGATTTCTCAAGGGTTTTGAAGGGCAATTATCCCTCTCTTATGAATGGATGGTTCTTAGCGATAAATGGTCCAAGGATTACCTTATAGACCCTATCTTGCATCAGGATTTCGTCTGTCTGGCTGCTCATTTCATTGATGACAACTGGGAGATGAAGAAATGGATATTGGGGTACACTACTGACCGGGATGTACCTTTGGAAGTTGTTAGGGCGACCGTTCAGGATTTCGAGATTGAGAGCAAAGTCTCTACTCTTCTGTTGCCTACCTACTTTGATCTTGATGAAGTGCCTTTAGCTCCTTTCAGGAAATGGATTGAAGAGAGAGGGAGTAATCAGATCAACCCACGGGTTTCTTTCCTCTATTGTTGCGCTGACCTTTTCCGGTTAATGGTTGATGATGTTTATAGTTGCTTAAGCGAGTCTTTGCTAGAGGATGTGAGTTTGTTGGTTGGATGTGGACCACTGTCACATATCAATTGGAACATCACTTTGTCTAAGCTACAACGAGCTGTAGATATGAAATCTGAGGATGAATTCTCAAAGGACGAGGATTACGATGAGTTTGACAAACCATCTGATGAAGATTGGTTTAAGATTGAAACCTTTTGCAAACTCACTGGTTGCATATATAAAGTGTCAATAGAGCTTTTCAAGGGAGATTATTTGACATGTAACGTCTTCTTCCACCTACTTTCTGAACTTAAAGTAATGCTGAACCAAGAGCTCGCGAGTGCTGATAATGACTACTTCATCGGCAAAGCTAAGCAGATATTGAAGAGGTTTGATAGGTACTGGAAAAAGATGTACCTGGTTTTGGCAACTGCTTCTGTATTAGATCCTCGGTTCAAGATGAAGTACCTCGACTTTTACTGCTCAAAGAAGGAAGTTAATGTTGAAGGTTCAAAAGCTGAAACTGTTTTGGACTATTTACGCAATCTATATGCTCGCTATGCAGCTAACGATACCTATCAAAAACCAATATGCTTTGTTGCTCCAATTGATGAAGAAGAAGAAGAACAAGATTACGGTGAAGAAGAAGAAGAAGAACTAGATGATGATAATGGAGAAGAAGAGCAGAAGGAAAAGGAAGAGAAGAAGCCCGACGCATACGAGGATTTTGTTTTTTTTCAAGAATATCTCAAGTTTGAAGGATCTCCAAGAGAGCTTCAAGAATCAGAGATTGATTCCTACCTCAAAGAACCGGTTATAGAGTGGAACAAAGACTTCAAAACACTGGAATGGTGGAGACAAGAAGGCAAAAAGTATCCAATACTCTCCCGAGTAGCACGTGACATTCTCTCCATTACAATCTCGCGTGCCGTATCGCAGGATGCCTATGTTCCAGACAATCGAGAGCCTCCTGATTTTGTTCTTTCTTTGGAACCCAAAATTACTAACGCCATGATGTGCAGCAAAAACTGGTTAGGCCTTTGATGATTGATAACGGCTAAATAGGTAAGAAGTTTCTCCTTATTATCACTAGTAAGAACCTGAACTACTTTTGTAGCCTTCATGAAACTCAATACCTCTGTGTTTTGTTTTAGTACTATCGTTTTTCCATTTCTATATCAGTAACATGTCTCCTGTTTCGAAGACTTATTTTGTTTAATTAGTATGAAATATCTCAATATCGATTACTATTTTTGTTAATCTAAGTTTGAATATTTTGACAAACAAAATAGAGATAATCAAATTAATATATCTACAAAGCTAAAAGGTACTATGAAGGTAAGATGCTTAAGTGAACTGACCGACTACAAGTCTCCTTGACCTTAATAACTACTACAATACTCACTGTCTTTGCAAAAATGAACTCTATATTACGACTACATAATTTGTTATTGAGCATATGGGTTAGTTTAATTTGCTTAATAATTTTAGAAAGAATAAATAAATATATTTCTCTTTAAGACGTTCTAGGACTAGTAGTAATGTATTTAGTAACACATGTTATCAATAGTATATAAATATGGGCTTTAATAGCATTTTTCAACCTTGTTACATATATCATCATCCACCTTTTACATAAAAATATGGTTAACTCTGTACAATTTTTCTTCTATTTCTTTTTTACATGTTCTCTGATGTGTTCAAGTGCAAGTGTAACTAGGTAAAGAAACCAACATGGTGGCAGTGTATTGGTTAAAAAGTAAAAAGAGGCCAAGTGGTTTTGAAAGCTTGCACTCACTCATGTTTTCCACGTGTTGCTCACCACCAGTCACCATTAGCCAAGTTAAGTACTAATTAATCTTTGTCTTAGTTTTGTATTTAACACTTGATTTAAATTTGGTTTGACAAATCAAGTGTGAACACAAGAGTTCCATGCATTTAACTAAACACCTACATAACAATGAGATATTTTTGGGGTTACTAGAAAGTAGAAACTTATAAAATAAATAAGTTATTACATTTGGCTTATTTATATAAAAAATGTATAAAAATAGAAAAACTAATATTTATATAAGCACACATGTATATATATATATATATATTCTCAACATATTCAGGTAAACCTAATTTGTTTTCTTTTTAAAAAATTTAATCGAAAAAATAAAATGCGTCAAAGCAAAGCTTCAGTGACCCAAACATGGCTGCTTTACACACAGCTTTGTCTTTGGAAAGATCTCATAATCAGATGTGTCCGCAAGTTCATAATAAAAGCAAAATCGATGATTTTGAGTCAAAACATGGTCGCCGATTCTGCTGAGATCAGTGTCATTGACGTCAAGTCTCATCTCTCCGTCGGGAAAGATCCCAGTAGCTTTCAGATTGCCGAGATTCGAATTCATGATTCCGTTTGTATAGAGATTCCTGGCTCTGAAGAAACGCCTCTATTAGGATCGGTATGTCTTTGGGTTTTGTTTCTTTTCTCTTCTCGTTATCTCAATTTTGCTACTTTTTTACATTTTCTTAGGACTCTGTACCATTCTACAACTTCCGATGAATTCGAAGTTAGGATTTGATTGGTTCGGATTGATAAAGTCCTACTCTTTTGATAATCTGCTTGCTTAATGTCATGGATTTCAATTTGTATTTTCTTTTCGATCATGATTTGGTCAATTCTGCATCATGGCTTTTTGTGGGTTTCTTCTGTTCTGTGAATTCGCTGTGGATTCTTTGATGTTGTGAAGAAGAAGAAGAACTAAACACTAAACAAGCTTTTATGTTACCTTTTTTTCTCAAACAGGTCAAGAGCTGTTCTGCAGCTGCAACGATTATTGAAGAGCCTGCTACTGAGTATGTACCAAATATAAGCTCTGGGAGTTATGCAGATAAGGGTGACTACCGGGAATACATGGAAGATGAACACATATGCATAGACGACCTTTCAGTTCATCTTGGATCTTCCTTCTACAGATTTCCTGTACCTATCGCTTTCTACGGTGTGTTTGATGGCCATGGTGGATCTGAGGCATCACAGTATATTAAAGAGAATGCAATGAGATTGTTCTTTGAAGATGCTGTTTTCCGAGAATCTCCCTCGGTTGTGGACTCTCTTTTCTTGAAAGAACTGGAAAAGTCTCACCGGAAAGCTTATAGGCTTGCTGATCTTGCCATGGAAGATGAAAGAATAGTTAGCACTTCGTGCGGAACAACCGCCTTGACCGCTCTTGTAATTGGAAGACATTTATTGGTTGCTAACGCTGGTGATTGCCGTGCAGTGCTCTGCAGAAAAGGAAAGGCGGTTGATATGTCATTTGATCACAAATCTACATTTGAGCCAGAACGGAGACGGGTAGAGGATTTAGGAGGGTACTTTGAAGGCGAGTATCTCTACGGTGACCTTGCTGTTACAAGAGCTCTTGGAGACTGGTCAGTAAAGAGGTTTTCACCTCTCGGTGGATCTTTCTCACCTCTCATCTCGGACCCGGACATTCAACAGATGATTCTAACAGAGGAAGACGAATTCTTGATTATGGGATGTGATGGTGTTTGGGATGTGATGACTAGCCAGTATGCTGTTACTTTTGTAAGGCAAGGATTCAGGAGACACGGTGACCCGAGAAGATGCGCTATGGAACTTGGAAGGGAAGCGTTGAGGCTTGATTCATCAGATAACGTTACAGTGGTTGTCATCTGTTTCACATCATCACCAGCTCCACAGAGGAGAAAAATACGGTTCTGTGTTTCTGATGAAGCCCGAGCCCGGTTACAGACAATGCTAGAAGGCTAACTGATGAAGGTTTGTAAGAGGTCTTGAGGAGGGGACAATGTATATATTATAGCAACAGAGATGGGTTTTTAGAGATAACAATCCTCCCAAGTCCCAAGCAAGATTATTTGATGACAGTTCATCTCTGATATTGGATGCAAATAAAATGGAGGCAAAAAGAGAAGATGAAAGACTTCTCTATGTTGTTGTTTAAAATGTTCATAAGTGTTGTAGCCATTTTTGATCTGTTTGTTGTTTGGCTACATCTCCAGTAGGATTATTGAGCACTTATGTACAAAAACTGATTAAGATTAAAGTCTATTCATGTTATAAATTAATCAACCGCTTCTTCCTCCTTGTCTTTGAGTTTAAGAACTCTCCTACATTAGCTTAACCTTCTCTTATCCTCCATCTCTAGAAGATCTTCATCTTCCCATATCTTCACTTTTTGTATATTTGTTGAAATACCTCACACATATCCGTCAGCTATGTAGTAGTTGGTCATATTCAAATACATATGTATATAATTAAGCACTACTTTTGAATTATTTGGGTATCATAATTGCTTCTAGATCATCTTAGTTCTTAATTATGATTAACGAAAATTGGAATTAAAAAAAAAAAGAATAAATAAATCATAGGAAATTTGAGAAAATGTCCTTTTCATTTTTTTTAATATTCCGTCTTTATTCGACTCTTCAAAGAACCAAAGTCTCGTCTCCATCTCCTCTCTCTCTCAGAAAGTTCGACGGAAGAAGAACAAAACAACAAAAACAACGATGGCGATGGCGAGCTTAGCTAGGAGAAAAGCCTACTTTCTCACCAGAAACATCTCTAATTCTCCCACTGATGCTCTCAGATTTTCTCTCTCCCTCACTCGCGGCTTCGCTTCGTCGGGATCCGATGAGAACGACGTTGTCATCATCGGCGGCGGACCTGGAGGTTACGTGGCGGCGATTAAGGCAGCTCAGCTCGGACTCAAAACTACCTGTATCGAAAAGCGCGGCGCTCTCGGTGGTACTTGTCTTAACGTCGGCTGTATTCCTTCTAAGGTGATTCAGAAACTCCTTTTTTCATTTACCTCGATTCGTTAGATATTTCTCTGATTTTGTTTCGCCTCTTGTGAGTTTTTGCTGTGGATCATCGTTTGAGATTCGATCTGAGGGTTAGATTGAGTTCGAGGTTTAAAAAACTGGTTCTGTGATGATAGTTATTCATTACTCAGATCTGCTTGAGTTTTTTTTTTCGTTTTCCTGAGTCCTGTTTTGTGCTTGATTCGCCGGAAATGGAACCAACTGCCTTCGTATTTTTGTATCTCTTCACTTTATTTTGTTCTCGTTGCATATGGCTGGATCATGAATCATGATCTTCTCTTGGTTCGTAGATAATAACAGTGGTAGATAGATGTTAACACTACTTTTTGTATCCTGATTGATTAGGCTCTTGTTCACTTTGATGAATCTATATGACATTCTCTAACATAGCATTCATTTTTTTCCTTCTGTATTAGGCCCTTCTTCACTCTTCTCATATGTACCATGAAGCAAAGCACGTTTTTGCTAAACATGGTGTTAAGGTATCTTCAGTTGAGGTAGATCTTCCTGCTATGTTGGCTCAGAAAGACACAGCCGTCAAGAATCTCACCCGTGGAGTCGAAAGTCTGTTTAAGAAGAACAAGGTCAACTATGTGAAGGGATACGGTAAGTTTCTGTCCCCGACCGAAGTCTCTGTGGACACAACCGATGGAGAAAACACGATTGTGAAAGGCAAACATATCATAGTTGCAACTGGCTCGGATGTCAAGTCTTTGCCTGGTATCACCATCGATGAAAAGAAGATTGTCTCATCAACCGGGGCACTGTGTCTGACAGAAATCCCAAAGAAACTCATTGTCATTGGCGCTGGATATATTGGGCTTGAGATGGGCTCTGTATGGGGAAGGCTCGGATCAGAGGTCACAGTTGTTGAGTTTGCAGCAGATATTGTACCAGCAATGGATGGTGAAATCCGCAAGCAGTTTCAACGTTCACTAGAGAAGCAAAGTATGAAATTCATGCTCAAGACTAAAGTCGTTGGCGTAGATTCATCTGGAGATGGTGTGAAACTCATAGTGGAACCTGCTGAAGGTGGAGAGCAGACCACTCTAGAAGCTGATATAGTTCTCGTCTCAGCTGGTAGAACTCCTTTCACATCTGGACTTGATCTAGAGAAAATTGGAGTTGAGACAGACAAAGGCGGGAGAATTCTAGTGAATGAGAGATTTTCGACAAATGTTTCAGGCGTTTATGCAATTGGAGATGTAATTCCAGGACCAATGCTTGCTCACAAAGCTGAAGAAGACGGTGTTGCTTGTGTCGAGTTTATAGCAGGCAAACATGGCCATGTGGATTATGACAAAGTCCCTGGGGTTGTCTACACTCACCCTGAAGTTGCCTCGGTGGGTAAAACCGAGGAACAGCTGAAGAAAGAGGGTGTAAGCTACAATGTTGGGAAATTCCCGTTTATGGCGAATAGCAGAGCCAAGGCCATAGACACAGTAGAGGGAATGGTCAAGATTTTGGCTGATAAAGAGACAGACAAGATCTTGGGAGTTCACATTATGTCGCCAAACGCAGGAGAATTGATCCATGAGGCGGTTCTAGCGATCAACTATGATGCATCGAGTGAAGACATTGCTCGAGTCTGTCACGCTCATCCCACCATGAGTGAGGCTATCAAGGAAGCTGCCATGGCTACCTATGACAAGCCCATACACATGTAGATAAACCCACAGGTAGGTGACAGTTTAGTGTTGGTTCCCTTTCGATTTATGATTTACTTGTTGCTTTTTTGGGTTTTGATATTTTCTTGTGTGTGTTGATGTCTATTCTAGGAGATGTGGATTGTAGGAGAAGGAAGTAAAGCCGCCTACGACAAAGCCAAATCGAGATTAGATTTCTAATATCGGTTTAAAACATTCGATCTTTTAATTTCTGGTGGATATGAGATTGAGCTGAAAGAAGATACTTTTACCACTCTTTTTTATTCGTTAATCTTCTCCAGTTTTTTTTTCAGTTCCGGGTCAGGCCCGACTATAGTAATAATTTGAAATGCTCAATGAACCAAAATGTGATTAATCCGGTTTTGTTCGGTGGTCCTGGCATTGGTTTTGTTGGCTGATTTTTGAAGGAGTAAACCGAGTTCGATATGATTTGTTTGTTAACTATTTGATGGTGATTTCGATTTCCTTCCACTTTATAGACTTGGTTCGGTTATTCTCCCACCCACATTAAACTACTACGTTACGATTTTTTTATTCCTCTGTATTATGCTCTCAAGATATATTACCACTGTCATAATAGGTTTCAAAAACAGATGGTTGAAAATATACCCAGAAGAAGATACAAACATACGTATGTACTTGTGTAGTAATTAGATTTGCGAATTTTTTTGTATGATATGATATGAACAAAAATGTAATCACCCAAGATTTTGAAATGTTATCAGAATTTTTGTTTGCTTGTTTGTTTCAAAGTTGGAAATGATCTAATAACCTAGATTTTTTTTTTACTGGTTCATTATCAATTGAAAAATGGTGGAATGAACACCATTTTTGAATTAGTTGAAGAAGAATTTCATATATTTATAAGGAGGATATTTAAGAAATGGACTAGAATAAACATAATGTGTGTCCCATTTCAACACCAACAATATACAGGGATTTCTGCATCACTTGGCTTACCTCTGATCCAACATGGTTCTCTATGGCCTCGTCAAATTACTGATGTAAGTTTTATGACAATCGTCATATCCATAGAACCTTTAAAATTGTCCTACGATATAAACTTTTTAGCACCAAAATAAGAGAATTCTGGAAAGTAAGTAAGAAGAATACTAATCAGATAACTATCTCTGCAATAATGCTAAGAATAGCTAATTTTTTTTCTCTCTCATAGATTAGGACTTGTGGTCTAACTAAGAATCAGAAAGAGCAACTACCCATTCTATGAGTTTCTATTATTAGATTTAGTTCTAGTGGAAACAATCAATCGCAAACATCTATAAATTTATATCATCAGGCATAGCAAGGGAATAACTTAACCATCTACCAACGAACATAAGAAAGAAAGAAGCAAAGATGGCAGCATACCTAATGAACAGAGTTTTTGTGTCTTCTCTGATGCTTTCCGTAATGATTGGTTCCTTGAACGCACAAGTGGCAGACATAAAAGCAATCTGCGGTAAAGCGAAAAACCAATCCTTCTGTTCGAGCTACATGAAATCCAACCCGAAGACATCGGGTGCTGATCTTCCAACACTTGCAAATATCACCTTTGGTTCTGCACAAACAAGTGCATCAGAAGGTTTCAATAGAATTCAATCTCTAGTCAAGGCAGCAACCAACCCAACTTTGAAGAAAGCATACACCTCGTGCGTACAGCATTATAAGAGTGCAATCAGCAGTCTCAATGATGCTAAGCAGAGCCTTGCGTCAGGCGATGGTCCAGGGTTGAACATTAAGGTATCAGCGGCTATGGAAGGACCTACAACATGTGAAGAAGACATGGCAAATTTCAAAGTTGACACTTCAACTATGTATAACAGTGGTGACTTTCAGAATATTTGTGGCATTGTTCTTGTCATCTCGAACATGATGTGAGAAAGGGCTTGATCCAATCTCCCGTCATACTCATAACTTGACTCTGATATACACAGCATCAAGAACCCGGATTCCTCGTAACTAGTTTTTACACAGGCATCACCTCTTTGTATAGGATAAAATTAAGAGATAACAACTAGTATTAGACTTATAACAAAGCCGAGAAAAATATCTGAAATCAAACTTTCTTCATTATAAAGTAAAACTCGAGATCGTTTACACATCAAGTCTAAATACAACAAAGGCAAAGGTAGAAATTCACAGAAACAAGAGAACAACTCAAGGCAACCAAAGGTCATATATAACTCAAAACGGATATACTTTATTCAACAATGCTCACAAGATGCAAACCCAGAGAAAAAGATCAAAGATGAGAATATTGGAGGCAGCAACATTAATTAGAGAGAGACAGAAGTAGGCTTGTAGTCAATAACCAATACTTTATCCAAGCTGCCAAGGAACATGGTGGCGAATTCAACGTGAACGGGGTGAGCAACGTACTCTGCAACAGCTTCTTTGCTCTCAAATGTGGATTCGAAAATGTGTGTGTAACCTTGGTGCAGATTCTCAATGCTCACGTCTTCTCCCCTAGAAATTATACATATACCAGGTTTAGTACAGAGCCAAGAAATCAGTAAAAGGCAAGAGCAAATTCATGGAATTTGGGATCTGGAGCATATTCCTAACTCTTAGAAGCAATTCAGATCTATAACAGTTCGATCTGATGATAAATTCAAAGCAAAAACATCGAAGGATCGCAGAAAACGTTAAATGTGAAGTGCGAAGAGATGTACAAACCAGTGGAAAGCTTTCATAGGTTCGATGAGATTGACGAGGTTGGCGTAACCTTTGATTAGTTCTTCGATTTTCTCAGGGCTTACGCCATCTTTGAATTTGGCAAGCAGAATGTGCTTCACAGGTCCCTTATTAGCTTCCTCCATTTCTGATATTTTCTTCCACTTCTTCTCTCAAGCTCTCAACTATGGAGTTTGACTATAAATGGGCGGTCAAGATCTTTCTATAAGAGCAGCTTTGCGACGTGCAAGTAAGTATTAAGAAAATGACTAAATGAGCATGGAGAAGATAAATGGACGGTCAAGATCTTTTTATCGCGAAGCAAAGTCACCAGATAAAGAAAGAAAACATAAACAGATGCTGCTGAAGCTGAACGTTAAGAGCTTAACTAACTATTTCTTTTCCAATGTAGCAGCAGTACCAGTTATCTTTATACTGCAATCTTGACAGGTCCATCTCACTTAATATCTTTGTGTTAACTTAGAAAGGACTTGTATAATTTGAACATCATCAAGACATAATATAAAAGGAAGGGGCTCAAAACTCTAGAGAAGACGTGTTACGATTGCAAATAATTTACAAATTATTTCATGTGCGCTTATAAATACGATAAGCAAAATAATTTACAGCATTTCAGTTCCCCTAACTTGTTCACTAAGACCAGTCTCTTATTTTAACGCTTACTTTTTTTTCTTTTCCCCCCATCTGTCACTGAAGTTTTAAACTCTCAGGCACCTCCGACTAAGACTTTCCCAGTAAATCACACTTCTTTTTCTCTCATATTTTTCAAACAAGAGCTGCAAATGAAACCCATTAGTTAATAATATCCAGTATACGTTCCCCTCTAGACCCTTCTATTAGATGCTTTGAGCCAACACATTCTTCACCCTCCCTCAGTCTACAGGGAATGCTCGAAGAAGACGAATATTAAGAAGCCGGGTCAATTTGGGGCCATGATAGTCTGTGTTTACGGCACAAAGCTATTCAGCTCAGATCAAAACCCGCTTCTGCACTTATGGCGTACATCAACTTGGTCTCAAGTAGCTCTTTGCTGCATCATTAACAAGACATGTTTAATTTGCTTTCTGCCATCACCGCACCAAGTGCAAGACAACGGTACTTTGGCAACAAATGAAATCTGCTAACTGAGCAAAAACCAAATGGATTGTGTTACTATAGGACGGACCTTTGATAAGGCGGAAGCTTAAGAAGGTTCATACAAGTGGCTGATGTCGGTAGTCTATCAACTGATTCATTACTCGCACTACCGGCAGCCCTGAAACAAATTCCAAACAAGGATGGATCTTCTTTTATTCTATTACTGTCCAATTCCCATAAATATAAAATAAAAACGTTTGTGAATCTGTGTAATTTACCTCTGTATGCAGAATGCAGGTTCCAAGTATTTGAAACCGAGCAGTGGCCCTCGTGAACAGCCCGTCACAAACCTGAAAATGAAGATGATAGATGTGCATCTTAGTTCCGTTAAAGAAAATAATTACACTACGGTATTCATTGGGTACACAAACTGTAGCAACTGCGAAATTGACCTACTTTAAGAACTTCTTCTGGTTTTCAGTTGAGAAGCTTTTCATGACTTCCCAGAACATCTCGATCACATAATGGTCCTGTCAAGAATATAGCGACGTAGTCATTTAACAATGTTCCAAAAGTGTCCCTACGCTAATTCACCATGGCATTTTGGCTAACAGCTAAGAACCACTCACCGCGTGGTAGCCTCCAGCAAAATTGGTGTTATTTCGCAGGTCGTCAATATCCAAACTATCAACTGAACCAGATATGAGAACCTGCAACCAAAGCCCACAAATAATTAATCATCAGTTCATGCTCCTTTATGGAGCAACTAACAAAGCAAGTATAATAAGAAATGTAAATCCATTGGCACCTGAAGTTCATGTTCATTGAACATGTCGATCCATTCTTTCGGGATGAGTTGCTGAAACCCCCTCAGGAAATGAGAACTCTGCTGGCGTATCTGCAACCGAAAAAATGGGATGATATTAAAAACTGTTGACCTTTTTACAAGGTGACCTCAGGTATACTAAGATTACTGAGAGGTAAGTGGTTCCTAGATACCTGAAAATTTAACCGATGATTGGAAACCAGATGAATGAAAGTTATAACATTCTCATTTGTAACTCGCATATCATTCCCCCCTGGAAGTAACTCTTCCTCTGTCCTCTCTCCATATTCATTATTCAAAATAACAAAGTAAAGCTCCAACTCTGAGATATCACCCTTAAAACGCTGCAAATATTGTAATGTAATTGAATACATTAAAAAGTGGATAAAGCTAAAATGAAAAGAAAAGGAAACAAATTTCAGTTTCTGAAAGAAAAGAAAAATAACAGATGTCAGCGTTCTCGCACCTCTATGCTCCGTTCCACAAAGCAACCGGAAAATAAATTATTCAGTGAAAGTTACCTTCAGAAATATGAGGTGCCTATACAACTCAGGATCCAGGGAAGGCAAATCGTTGAGATAGTTGTACCTAGCCAGAGAACAATAGAAGTTTTGCAACATGTTCACAGAGTCTGTATGGGCTTAAATAAACAAATGAAATGACAGTAAGTTGAGGTCAGAAATTTACATACTTTTGTTTCAATTTGCTAAGGAAAAACGTTGCAAATGGTATATCAACAAGAATCCCTTCAAACATAGCCTACAACGAGATCGCGAGGAAGTGAGTCTTATCATATCAGATGTACATCAACTTCAATAAAGACAGCCAAATTTAACAAAGTTCCTATGAAAACATGCAGAACAATTATACCCCTACTAAGTTCATTTGCATGGAAACATGGTAAGTTGAACCAGTAATGTATTGAAAGCAAATGTTCCTAAACTGCAAACATAGCATGATGGTTTGGTTTTTGTCCTAAATATATAAGTTTGAAGTAAGAAAGATCAGTAATCTATATGATTTTCGCATCAAGGACACCGATCAAATACCATACTTTTGCGAGAAGACTGCCGAGAAAATGAAAGAACTGGAGATGTTGTTCATGTATCATTCCTGATCCAGGATTAGGATAAAGCATGTGATCAGCGGTCTCCTGAAAGAATGTATGTACAAGATTCAGTTAAAGAAAGAAAGACTACATGCAAACATGATGGAGTGTGTTATATTACGAAATCCACAAAAGCTTAAGTGAGCAAAACTAGACATACGACCTTAAACAACCCGTATTGCACATCAAAGGCTGCTCGGGTGATTTTCTCCATGAAGTCTTTAAAAATTCCACCACCATCAATACCAGCTTCCTCAACTCCGAGTTCGTTGACAAATGTCACCCGAATCTACAGCCAGAAGTTATTTGCATCATAAATATCGAAAAAATAAACAAGAGACACAACGAAGATATGGATCCGTTTCAATGGCAACCCAAACAATTGCTAGAAGACAGATATCAGTTAAGAGAAAAAACTTACCGACCCCCGGAGATCATCCTCTGACAATGCACTCATTTGATTGTAAGCATCTTCCAAGATATGATCTCTTCGTATTCTGAACCGATTTCGAGCAAAAATTCCTTGAGATCCATGACTCTGCCTTGCTGTTGCTAATTGTGTCTACAAATTATCGCGAGCAGGTAAATGCAGCCACGGCTAAGTAATCAGTGAACAAGTACATACAGGAACAAGTACATACAATATAGTCTCCTATTTACCCAGATTACTCATGCAAGTTATGATAATTAGCTCTTCTAGGTTCCTCTAAACATATAAATAATAATGATATACATATCTTAACAGCCACTCACTGTGAATATTTTGACTCTGCTTGTAAACGGAATCAAGAAAGGAGCTTGCATCAGTATGTAGTTGGCTCTCGTACCTTCTATTATGGCCTGGAGAAAAAAAAAAAAATCAGCAATGATAGAGGACAACTAATACCAAATCGTTAAAATTGATAGAAAACAAAACTCTTCAGTGTTAGCACGTTATAAACACTAAACAAGTTGCAGTGTACCTGAGAGATGAAATATTCATTGACTGTATCAGCTTGGAAGTCAGTCGAGGAAGTGAATTCTTGCCGGTTGTTCCAATCTTGCAACTACAGAAGATTTCATCAACAAGAGAATAAATTGAACAATGATCTTTACCAAATTTTACTGATTTAAAGACATAATAGCCATAATTGGTCACGTAGTGTTAACTTCTTTGCAGCATATACCTGTGAAAGAAGCTCAGAGACTACAACCCCAACCCTGTTCTGAATCAACTCAACAGGGTTCTTCTTAGAGAGGTCGTTGGATACAGATTTTCCAGTGTTAGATTGCGTAAGTGGATTCACCCATAGTAACTGCCATAAAGCCTGGACAAAAAAGAGCAAACATACAAAAAATATTTAGAAAATTCTAAGCATGCCACATAAGAAACTATTCTTTAGGTGAGTCCAATAGAAACTGTTTGTGTAAAGATTAGCAGCAAGTTGAGCAACCACTGCAACAAAGCAATCATATAAAAACGCAAAGCCAATCTAGCTTATTATATTTGTGTTACAGATAGTAGTCTAAGCCCCAGCTAACCGCGTTATTAATATTTCGCGTATGAGTCTGCAGTCATATATCCCAAAACTCTTTACGTCAAAGTTACAAAACTGCTAAATCAAAACTCTTACCTGCTTAAGAATAATGATCAGCAACCTGATATCTTGTAGCGATAATGGCTTTTCTCTCTCATAAAACTCCTCATTGTCAACTATCATAAGCATATGCCTGATCATCAACAACATTTAACCCAGCTTTTAGTATTAAACCACACTCACAACACTAATTTACCTATAGTCACACGAGAGAGTGACTTTTAAGAAAAACTACAAACAAAATTGGCATTAATTCAAGAAACACTTACTTATAAACAGGACAAAAAACAACCAGAGGTAATAGCCAACCCGGAACATCCCCTGGAAGGTAGGCTAGGAGTTTAGGCATAGATGACCACTTCTGATTCTCATGGCATCGTTTCATATAATTCCACAACACAGCTACAAGCTCGGTTCTATAAGCCAAAATTGTCATGATCCGTTCAAGAGGGAGAGTGTTGAATGCTGCATACAGAAAAGAACAGGCTGTGCCAATAGCTAATGCTTCTTTATCTTCGTCATATGACTGCATACCAAGCAAAACTTGATGGAACAAAACATTTGTCTGCAGGGATGAAACTAAGATTACTTAGATTTAAATTAAAGAATCAATTGATTCTTCAGAGGAGGCATAGCAT